CACTCTCCCAAGTGAGCCATGGGCCAGCCCTAGATCAAATACTTCTGATGATAATTTAGTGTCTAAGATGTGCTGCTAAGTGTAAGACACATACTCAGTTTTGAAGACTTAGTATAAAAAAAGATTAAATATGTCATTAATATGTTCATATTGAGCACGTCTTGGATGTATTAGGTAAATAAAATGTATTATTAAAATTAGTTTCACCTGTTTCTTACTTTTCTACATGGCTAGGAGAAAATTTTAAATTATGTATAGCACACATTATATGTTTATTAGACAGTGCTGTTTCAAAGCATTTGCAAGGAATTATTTTTTATCCTCTGGCACTGAAAACTGCCTTCAATGCCCAGCTCCTGAGCTAAGAGGAAGGTGCTCGGAGAGAGTGCCATTTCCTGGACAGGGGTTATGCCAGGAGGCATGTCATCCAGCAGCAGTTCTTGGGTGTTGTGGTGGGTAAGGAGAGAAAGCCTAGCCCTGGGCTTCGGCCTCCAACTCCCGGGAACAAAGACCCTCCCGACCACCTACACCTCTGTACTTGCTTGCCTTGCTCCCCAGAGTTTCTCTGGTAGATGGGTGACTGGGTGGGGAGGGAGGAGGATGCCACTTGCCATGGGCTTCTTGCCAGGAACTGAAGAAACTCCAAGAGGAGGAACACCAATCTGAGAAAAAAGCCCAGATACCTCAGAAGTCAAAGGAGCCACAGCCAACACTAACAGAGGCACTGGCACCACCAGCACAGCCACCACCACAGCAGTCATCAGGGCAGCCACCACTGCAGCCAAGGGAGCAGCCACAGCTACCGCCACCACTGCCACCACCATCTCAGCCAACACAAAGTGCTCAAGACTGTCCTCAGTGCTTCTCCAAGTCCAGTCTCCAGAAGGATTCTCAAAGACCAGGTCCCCAGCTTGGTTCAGTGGGGGCCCATCAAGCTGGAGAGCAATCCCACTTTATGAACACCGACAGGTTCCAAGGGGGGCCAAACACCCTCCCAGGCTCTTGTGAGTGAGGTGCCTCAGAGGCGGAGGTGATGGGGAAGAGCCCCTTGCTCTCATCCCAGCCCTACAGGCCATAATCCACATCTGCCACCCCATTCTCTCTGACTCGCCTTGGTGGTCACTCCCTCTGGGTGGGTTTGTGTCAATTTAGGGCTGCAAAGAAGCCTGCCAACTTCTTCAGAGTATGGCTGAGAAGTCGTCAGCCCCTCTTTCCAGGAAAGGGTGACAGAGGAGGTGGGGGTGGGACCAGAAGGTGGGATATGAGTTGTAGGCTTAACAAAAGATGTATTGGGCCTGTGAGGTCTGGAACAGGGAACCACAGCATGGCTTCCCAGTTGAGAATCTTCAGGGTGAGCTCAGTCTGTGCCTTGCCCTGGTAGAGGCCTGCCCCTGCCCCCCGGCCCTCAGACATATGGTAAGGAGACTAGCCCTTCCATGTTCTATGCTCAAAAAGTAACTCGTACCTTGTTTCCTCATCAGGTCTCATGAACCCATACCAAACTGGTCCTACCAAATACTCTGGGCATTCAAAACTCACGGTAAGACAGAGCCACAGAGCATGAAAGGCAGGTGGACTCTGGGCCAGTGTCTGAGAGTGTGTATGCTTGTGTATGTGTGTAGTTTAGAGAGGCTTCCTTAGCAGGACTGGATGGAGGGGACTGGAATTATTTCAAAGTCACTTCTGAATGGCCCATTCCTCCACTCTTTGCCCTCATGAAAATGTCTGGGTAGGGCCTGCTGATCAGCACTAAGCATAAATGGAAGGGTTAACAATCTATTTGGGAAGACAAGAGTCAAAGAAGCAAAATAAAGGGGTTGGTTGGGGCAGAGGCAGTTGGGGCAGAAGGAAGGCAAGACCTAAAGTCAGAGGCTAGGTCTTAGGATTGCGACTCCCTGGTTAGCAATGAAAGCTCTGAGCCTCAGCTGCCCCATCAGTAAAATGAGAAGAATACCACCTACTCAATAGAGCTGTCATGAGGACTGAACGTAGCAATTAAAGGAGGGCATTCAAAGCACTTGGCTCATTGTAGGCAATCAAATCCAGGATGGTAACTCTTAAAGAGACGAAGCTTTGGAAAGGTTTCTCTGACACAGGTGCAAAGGCTGAGGTTCTCTAGCACTTTTAGGATGAGGACTGGGCTGCTATTTCACTCTGAATCCTAATGTTCTGAAACCAGCAGGCCTGAAAACTAACTAGCTTGTTTTGCTTCCTGTCTCTCCCTTTCTCAGTCAACAAATTACACACAACAATGGTGATCCAGAGATTCAACCCAAGACTCCACTGGCCATCACCAAAAAACAGATGAGCAACTGCATCTTTTCACCACCCAGCAACATCTCCACTGCGAAAGCCATCCACTCTAGAAGAGGAGGCTAGCCTGGCATAAAATGTGATTTCTTCACGGAAAGAATCATGAGACTGATCAACTTTATGAGACGGGGATGAGGGAAAGGGATCAGCAGGACCCACAAACAGGATGGAGAGTGGAAGGCTTCCATGCTTCTCTAGGCAAAGCCAATGGGAGAACTTGGTCTTGGGCCCCCTAAGTCTGTAACTCCTACCACTATTACTATTGGCCCTTACTCAGCAATGAAAGGTCTGTCAGGGGCTTTGGGCTTAAGACTGTCACTGGAGCCATCACTCCTTCCCCCAAACCCCATGCTTACTGAGATACAGCCCAGGGAAGGAGGGGTTACATCACACCTGAACAAGCCTAGAGCAGCAGCAGAAAGAGCTAGCAGGCAGGGACATCCCCCGCTCCAGCCCAGTGCAATGCCTGGTCCACAGTGGGCACTCAGCTGTTTAACGGATGATGAGGCCAGGGATGGAGAGAGAGAGCTTAGAGGAAAGGAGGGCTGTAGCCTCAAGCACAGGACATCTGACCCTGAGAAGGAAAGGGGGGGTTGCCTACTAAAATCCTCAGGCCTCTCCCTATGTGTGTCTCCACCTTTCCATCTAGCAAAGACAACCAAGAGGCTCCAAAGGCACCAGACATTATCCCTACCAGGCCAAGGTACGAGAAGGGGAAGGGCTGGGGGATGCAGGGTTTCAGGCTTCAAGAAGGTGCAAGCCCTGGGAAATCCCTTTCCTTTTTCCCCCATCCTGAGAAAGGCTGCTTCAGTCACCCAATCACAACCCAGGTCCACGGGATCAGATGGGTCACTTCATTACAGCCCTGCACAGCACTGCCTTGGACTCAGACTGAAGGAACTCCATCTCAGTGCAACCCAGGAATGTTTCCTGAGGGGAGCAGCTGGGGCTGATAGTAGTGGGGGATGGGGCAGAACAGGAATATTAAAGTTGGAAGAGAATTTAGAGATACACAGAAAAAGAGGGAGAGAACAAGCTCCTGTGAGCAATCTCTCAGAAGCCAGAAACGCAGGGCACATTATCAGAGGGGCTCAGGGGTCTGGGAAGAGACCTTGATGCCCATACCAACATTAAGAAACAATGGTGAGATAGGGAGGGTCCACCAGCTCCCACCTCACTCCCAGGGGACTTTTTTTTTTAAACACTGTTAAGTATAGTTTATTGAATACAATATTAAACCTTTACATTTGGTGAGCTAGACACAAGAACTCCAGTCTAGCCTTCCGTGCTCTTGCCAACACCACCTTGACCCCAGCTACCCAGGCATGAAAGCTTGGAAACAGCATGACTCCCTTCCTTCCCCTCATTCCTCCAGACAGCTAGTTGCCAAATTCTGTCACCACTTCCCCCTCTTCATCTATCCTACTTAAATTCAGCTTTCCCCAACCCCTATGCTCATCTCTCCACCTATCTGGATGATAAAGACCTAGCCACCTTTAGCGAGCAAATACCATTCCTGCTCCATCAAAGTACAGAAATGACTTCCACTTGGAGCCCAGTGGGAACATGGGGGTTGTCTGGGGCTTAGTTCCAGCTAAGCGACAGGAAAGAAAGGGTCTAGACCAGTACTTGCTGTTATGCTGCTCCATACTGTCAAAGCGTGGAGAGGAGCAGAGGCCTCTGGGAGCAGAGGGTGGGCCCTGCTGCTAAGCTGGAGGTGGAACAGAACCCAGCCGCTTTGGCTGGGTACTGATAGCTTCATCTGCAGGCTTATGTAAGAGAGCAGCTGGTCCCACCATTTAATTTGCCTGTGTCCACTCTTTTGATAAATACCTTTAAAAATGACTCTAGCTTTGGTTCTATTTTTCCTCTGTAGGCCTCGGGGTGCCAGGTGACTCCCTTGGCTCCTGCTATAAAGAGAATAATAAAACTGTTTTATAGAGAGGAGAAGCTTTAGCTGGAGAAGAGCTCTGTCTTCCTAGGAACCAGGGATAGTCACTAACAATCACTAACAGGAAGGACAGAGAGCCAAAAGGTCTTAGCCAATCTTACTGTCAGATGGGCAGGGGACAAGTTACCAGAGAGATGTAGGCCATCACCATCAATTTGTCAAATGACCAAAGCAGAGAGGCATAAGAAAGCATCTATGGTCCCCTAAAAGGCCTTCGAGACAGCACTGCATGTCCCCAAAGTCACTTATCATTGGGTGGAAAAACTTGAAAAGGGTCTATGTTTTAAAAGGCAGATATAACTACAGCTCTCTCCACATTCAGACAGGAGAAGGGCCAGCCCTAGTGGAGCTGGGCAACCAGTGTGCTCAGCACAGAAAGGGCAGTTGCCACTCCAGGGACTCTAGGGAAGCCCCAAGAAAACATCAGGTGAGACTTTCCTCAAGACAGACCAAGGGCAGGATCTGATGCCAGCCCCTGAAAGAACATGTAGAATTCAGAGGATGTGTGCGTGTGTGTGTACGAAGTTAACTACTCAGAAAGCTTCCTGTGATGAGGGTGGGGGTGTCAGGGTATGATAAAAAGGGCAGGATCTGATGCCAGCCCCTGAAAGAACATGTAGAATTCAGAGGATGTGTGCGTGTGTGTATACGAAGTTAACTACTCAGAAAGCTTCCTGTGATGAGGGTGGGGGTGTCAGGGTATGATAAAGCAAGGCTTTTCCTCTGGCAAAGTCACTACAGTCCTTCCTCGGACACCATGGAGTTGTGGGAGATACAGACCAGGAGTGCAGGTGCTTGGAGTACAGGATAGCAGACCGCAGGTCATGGTGGGTGGGAGCTCTGCAGGTGGGGCACTGATGAGTTTCCCCGGCAGTCCACATATTCATAGCTCTGGAAGACCACTTTGGAGTACAGGATAGCAGACCACAGGTCATGGTGGGTGGGAGCTCAGCAGGTGGGGCACTGATGAGTTTCCCCGGCAGTCCACATATTCATAGCTCTGGAAGACCACTTGCTCTGAATGGCTCAGGTAGGAACAGGTCAGCGTGCCCCTGGAGAGGAAGCAGTACTTGTTGCCACATCTGGGAGGAAAAGGCAAGCTCTGGCCTTGTTCTGCTGTCTGGGAAGGGTCGGCTTCCTCAGACCTCCCTCCCCCTACCTTCTGCTCCCCACTCTGCCAAGGCACCTGGGGTGGCTGCCCTGCCTATGTTCCAGCAGCTTCCAGACAGCCCTGTGGCTGTCGCACCAATAGCTTATAAGCAAGGTAAGACCTAGAGAAAGGGCTGGACTTGCTGTTCCCAAGATCCAACTAAGATTGATGGGGTCAGCTTGGAAGACTCTCCCCCGACCCACCACGAGGTGGAGCTGAGGTGGGACTCAAGTCAGATGTGGGAGAGGGGATATCAGGGCTCCAAGCCCTACTTACTGGATGTGCAAAAGCACATGGTGGACTTTGATTTTCAGCCAGGTACAGATTTTGCTGAGAGAAAGAGAGAGAACATGGGAACACGTTTCGCATTAAGTGGCCTGTCAGAAAGTTCAGAGGACCTGTGGGTCCCAGTTTTCCTTGTTTCCCAGGTCCCTTTCCTTCCATCAGGGACTCCAAGATGCCATTCCCACGCCTTCCCTCTCTCTCCCTCTGCGCAAGGTGAGCACGGTCACCTTGCTGCAATAGCATGGTCACCTTGATTGGCCCAGGTATATGCTGGCCCTCCTCAGCAGAAAGCAAGACACTTATCTTTCTTGACAATTCAGGCTGAACAGCCCAAGATCACATATTGTAAAGATTAACCAAATTCCAGACTGTTTTTCATTCCAATCTAGGTCCAAATAGGCAGAGGCCAGGGACCCTGAACCCTTGCACATTGCGGTCTTGGCCACAAGAGGGCAGGCCAAATGCTGGCTGCAGAGATTGTTAAGCAATCACAAAACCTGGTGGGTATTAAATGGGTTTCCAAGCCAGGCTAAGGGAGAAGAGATCAAGGGGTACTCACTATGTGTTTTCATCCCATATCCTGCTGGCTACTGCATAAAACATCTGTCAACCAAACGGGCACGGGGTTAGCCCCAACTCCAGCTGCCCCCTTCCCAACACCACACACCTTGGGACAGGGCTGGCCATGGAGAAGAGAGTCACCTGTTCACTGGCCAAAGGGCCAATGTGTAGGAGGAGGCTATCAGAAACCTGCCCCACCACAAGGGACAGGTGCAGAACCTCGATGGTCAGCTGGGTCACAGTGATAGGGTAGTAGTTGCTATTAGAGATGTTCAAGATACTCTGAGGGTGAGATAAGGAAAGGGAGAGGTGAGGGTGGCCATCCTTAGAAGGGAGAAACCAACAGTTGCAAAAGCCTGGCTCTCCAGCCTGAACCCCAGCCTACTCCGATGGGCCTCGGGTGCCCAGGACTGGTACCAGGAGCACTTCAGAGGGGCTCTTAATGGCAAGGGGCCACCTTTAAGAAGTTAAGCTGGCTCAGGATCCAGTCCCACCCCAGATGGCTTCTCTCTATTCAGTCCTGCCCATCCGGGAGGTCTCAAGCACCACCGCCCCCACTCCACCCTATGATTTATTTATCTGGCCCTGATTCTGACCCCTCACAGTGTAGAGTCTCAATCCTACACAATTTGTTACAGGGCTCATGGTTGCTTCTGCTTCTCCCTAGACTCCTAGCACCCTCTGGGTGTCATAAGATCCCTGGCTACCCATGCCCAGGGATGCAACACTGGACAGAGGCTACAGACAAGTGTTGCCGGGAAGGTGGAATTGGATGGAGCTCAGGGGCAACCACTCACTGTTATATTGAGGTGGATATCAGCTTCATCAAAGGCCACTGTAGAGGAGTTGAGGCCTGCAGGTTGCACAGCAATAGACCGGGGAAACAGGAAAAAGATGATAAAGGAGGAGGTCACCAGGCAGATAAGCACTGCCAGGAACACGAAGAGCTTCCTGTTGGAAAGTAGGACCCAGGATGGAGGAGTGGAGAAGTCTGAACACCAAGGAAACTTGGAGAGGGGGTTCAGACACTCTTTGCCATACATAAGGCTCTCCCCTACACATCACTCCCCAACAACTGCACATTTAGTTACCCAGATGTGGCCCAGAGCAGGTAGGAGCACAGGATTGAGAGGCAGGCAGTCTGGCTTCCATTCCCAGCTCTCTATTCCCTCTAACCAAATAACTCCAAGCAGCCATATTAACCTCCCCAAGCCTCGATTTCCTAGTCTGTAAAATGGAGATAATTGTACCTACCTCACAGAATTTGTTATGAGCAAATGCATGAAAATACACTAATCGCAGGTCTTGGCCCATAGCAAAAGCTCAACAAATGCTAGCTATAGAAGCAGTAAGTCCACATGAATTTTGAGAGTTCTGAATTTTGATATTGATATTCAGAACAGGACACCATCCATCCAACTAATTCAAAATTGAGATATGCATTAAAGAGCCAGCACTTTTTTAGCATCTTATGAGGGGCACTGCTAGTTTCTAATTCTAGAGTGGTGGGGGCAGGATGCGGGGGGTGGCTCCAGGCTTAAGCTGAGGACCTTGGGAGGAGGTTGCAGGGATCCATGTCAAATGGTCATGAGCCCCCCAGTGAAACCCAGGGCTGCCTCTAAGGTTCTGAAGAGTCACAGAACAGGGAGCAGTTTGTTTTCCATCTCTCCTGGGAAGAAAACAAGCAGATCTGAACTGCCACAGCGTGGGAAGTACTTGGGGAAAACTGACTGTCTCAAATCAATCACAGCCAGGGATGCTCACTACCTCCCGGAAGGACTTGCAGAGCCAAGATGTCCTTTCTGTCTTGGATAGGGTGTCATGCTTCCAGGAAGCAGTGATGCTCAGGGAAGGACACCAAGTGACCTCAGACAACATCTGTTGTGGCCAGGGCTTCTTAAACCAGGAAAATCCTGGGGAATAGGAAGTTAGTAGGTCTGAACCCAGTGAGGCTCAGGTTTTCTGGGGAAGAACCAATGGGAAAAAATTAGGGGGTATCAAAATGGGGAGACAAACAAGTGGAACAGCTCCCAGGGGTAATGGCTGGTGGAGCTGGGGGAGGAAGAAGGGCTTACGTGTGCCTGGGCTTCAGCCTCTGGTCCCCATAGGGGATGAGGGCCACCAGCTGCTTTTCCAGCTCTGTAGAAAGAGGGTGAGAGGGAGGGCCAAGAAGCATCCATGACAAATGTTTCCTGTGCCACCTTCCCAAAAGCACCCCTCCACCCCATAGCAATGTCAGAAGCATGACACCCTTGCCCCAGAGCAGGACCAAAGGCGGCAGCTCCACTTTGCCATCTCTAGAATGGAAGTGAGATTTCCATATACAGGTGTGAAGAATCTCTGAAAGCCACCTGAAAATCAAAGACACTCAGCTTCTTTGGAGAAGTAATTTGTAACTTCCTGAATGCGACGACACAGAGTGTTGGGGGCGCAGAGTGGCTAGATCCCCTCCCACCTCCCATCCCTCCACTAGGGCAGGAGGTTGGGTCTCTGCAGGGAGCCCAGGGATAGTTAGCATCTCCCTGGCCAGGCTAAGACTGAGAGACTAAAATCAGAAAAAAGATCCAACTCCATCCAAAAAGACTCAGAAGGGCTACCACCAGGCCAGCTGGCTAAGAGCTTTTCCTGGATTCCAAGCTATTTTGAGAGACTGAGGCAACTCACCTCTGGGGATCTCCCCACTGCCTTGGCAGGTGGGACAAGTCACAAAGCTGGCATCAGCAGCCCAAGGCACACAGGAACAAAAAGACTTGCTGCTATCAGTGCTGAAGTAGTTGGCAGCCTTACTAATGGTTGGGTCAGGGGGCAGGATCAACTTGTTCTCATCCTCCTGCCAAGAGCCCAGCTGGGAGAAAGTCTCACCCATTGTTCAGGGGGGATTTTTCACTAATGAGAAAAGAACAAAGTTCAGTGTTAAGCTTGTTAATATTGATGGCAGATGTAATTTTGATTTGAAGTTCTCAAGACTGGCAAGGAACCCACCAAATTTAAGCAAGTTCAAGCCTAAGGAAGATATGGTATGGAAAGTTGAGCAGTTACATGGGACTCTCAGATCAGAAATCTCAACACATTTCAGTTCCTTTTATTATTGTTAAGAGAGATCATTCTGCCTATGAAAGGGAAAAAATAGCAGCAGTATTTCGCTTTAAGGAACTTCCCTAAGTGAATGGCAGAGCAGCTATTTTTTTTTTTTTTTTCCTGGGAAAGTTCCTTCAGGGGAAGGAAACTGGATAGGGCTGCGGGGTGGGGAGGGCAGCTGTCTGGAGAGTCCCTTCATCCTCCCCAATCTTGTGATTACTCTGAAGACGTCTCTAAGAGCACCAGGGCAGAAATGCCTGAAGTCTCCCAGCTGGGTGTGGAAGGAAAGCTTCCATTTCTGAGCCTGAGCGCTGGCTTAATAGGAAGGCAGAGACTCTTTGAAACAAGGAGAAAAGAGGCTAGACTGGTCACAGGTGTAGCTAAAAACCCTACCCAAACAAGTTCTGAGAGGGAGCCTAAATCTCTTCCTCGCTGCTGAGGTGGGGTAGAAAGAAAGCCTGGGGAGGGGATAGTAACCTCGGGTTCTGTCCCCCTCACTTGAAAAGGTCAAAGCTAAATCCTGACTCTTCCCAAAAGACTCAAGAGTGGTAGCAGAATGAGACCGGCAAGGTGAGCCACACGCGGATCTTCCTGGGCTAAAATAAAGCGAGACTCACCTGGTCCGGGTCTGGGATCCGGGGCTCCTCTCAGCTGCAAGAGGTCGAGATTTCTGGTGTGCGTCTTTGGGGAGAAGGGCCTCTAGGACTGGGTGGTCGGGAGGGGCTGGGGCTAGGGCCTGCCCGGGCAAGCAGCCCCCTTCGGCAGAGTCCTGGGGGAGCAAATGCGACACGTTGGAGGGAGCGGGGAGCAAGGACCCTGGAATCCCCGGAGGGCCGCGCTGCTTCCCACCCTACTTTGAGGCTTTGTCGTGAGCCGGCCGCGTAAGCGCGAACGGAAAAGGTAGGACTTCACTGAGGGAAGATTTCAAGTCCCACCAGACACCCCGAGAACCGTCAGCTGAGCTTGGTGCCTGCGTACGCCTGTGTTGGGCGAAGAGGAGGCACAGAAGGTTCTTTGGCCCTAGTCATCGGAAGGGAAAACAGGGAGGGAGGGTCCCGGGAGTGCCTTACCCCTGGACAGAAGCGACAAAAACGGCTGCAAGCGGAATCGAAAGTGCGGGAGAAGAGCACTCGCGGCGAGTTCCCACCCGGACTCTCGGGAAGCTCCGCCCCAGCTGCTCCGGGCCGCCTCCCCCCGCCCACGCGCTGCTGGAGACGCTCTCGCTCTTCAGATGTCACCCGAGGTTCCGGAAGGAGCAGCCAGGCCAAGTCAGAGTTTCCAAGAACATTTATTTCACCATTCTTTAAATGGTTATGTACAAGTACAACAAGGCGGATGACCGAACCCACGGGCCCTCTTGGACCCTTACTATAAGACTCAGATAGTCAAGACAGGTCCCGCCCGAAGTCAACCCGATTACACACACCCTGCCGCTCGGCCTTCTACCCAGAAGCCCCGAAAAAACGTTTTAAATAATAGTTGGCTTGCGGTCTGAATTCCGGTTTATTTAGTAGCATTCAAGAGTTACACTGTAAATAAACATCATTATGGCTAATGATTAATTAAAATCGTCATTCATTATAAATACCAACCAGGTTAATAATACTATTTTAACTATCCTTCCTCCTTGGGTCTGGGGTGCAGATTCTTCTGGAAGTCATTTTCATGAATAAAATCTAAAGCATTTTTTGTTACCTCTTCCTTCACCAACCGTACCCAAGACTCCTGTCTGTAAACAGTGTGAACCTGGGCCCCCTGAAAGCAAGCTCTTTCCCATTCATCCCGGAGCTAAAACAAAACTTTCAGTGAGTTTGCCCCTATCCAGGTTTTGCAAAACACTAGCCGCCTCTTCCTGTTTCAGGCTCTCTAGGGCTAGATACCTCCGAACAGATTTCAAACATTCAAGAAGTCATCAGCATTTCCTATGTCTCTCACACATATCCTCACCCCTGAACTTTACTGCTATTAATGAAGGTGCCTTTCACTTTTCACGTTTCTACTACCCCCACTCTACCGTAAAATAAGATCTGCCTTGACATTAAGACAAAAGGTTACTGTTAAACTTAATTTTCCCTTTAAGTAATAGAAGGATTTCTTTCCTTTTCTACAGGATTAGCAAAATATTTCACACTACCTAAACTTTTTTCCTTAAATAAAAGAAAAATATATGCAAAATTACAATAGACACTGCTCCAAAGGTGCTGGTGGGTTAATTAGCACACTTTTCTCTCCTTCTGTTGAAATGCAGAGATTTACGGAAGGCAGATACCTTTAAATGCACCAATAGGGTCTTTGGAAAGAAACGGTGCCAATTACAAAGTCTTGGAGGAAAATGACTTTGCTCCTGACAAGGAAAGAGTAGCAACGTTTCTATCATGCTCTGGGTGTTATACCAATGCCACATAGCTATGAGGCTTGGGGTAGGTTACAGAAATTATAAGAATGATTATCGAAAACAATTTCCAAAGTTAATTTCTTTTAAAAACTGACAATTAACAGATATCCCCCTAAAAACATCCACATTAAGCAAAGAAAAATAACTACAATACAAGCAGAAAGAAAATGGTTGTACAGGAGGTTATACTCTTCAAAGCACTGAAATGGAGTTTTGTCCAAACCAATTGAAAAACTGTCTTCTTACTATTCGTCCAAAGTCTAAAGTGAAAATTTAAGTTCTGGTCTTTGATTTGTTCCAAAAAAATACTGTAACAGGTATTGTCTTGATAATTCAATCAAGGCCTCTATATAGATACATCAGATTAAAAAACAAGCAAGGGCTTCTACCTCACACCTCAATGACAGAATAAAGATAATAAAAATTTAAGTTCTGGTCTTTGATTTGTTCCAAAAAAATACTGTAACAGGTATTGTCTTGATAATTCAATCAAGGCCTCTATATAGATTCATCAGATTAAAAAACAAGCAAGGGCTTCTACCTCACACCTCAATGACAGAATAAAGATAATCTCTGAGCAGCTGGCAGTTATTTAATACAAGGTCGCTCTCTTCAATAGCGGTGGCTGTACCAGTCATTGTTGTTGACCTGAAGGAGTTCTGTCACAACCTGCAGGATGTTGTAATTGTGTTTCTTCAGCAGCCTTAGGTTCAGCTGCCTGTCACAGAATCCCATTTCAAAGAGATGGGCCATCAGGGCTGCTGTCTGATCTTCGGAAACTACTGGCTGTGCAGAGATGAGAAAAGTAGAACAACATTTTCTGTTTAATTTAAATGTTTTTCTTATTAAGAAATGTGTAAGAGTATAGCATTCTTGTCAACCTGATACCTGATACCAATGGGCCTTCTGAGGAAGTATGGACTGGGAAAGCCCTGCTTTAGATTAGCTATGTTTGTACCCGAAGGAGGAGAGAAGAGAAACCGGGGAACTAATGAACTATCCTTCGTACTAAGAGAATGCTTCAGAAGGGACTTTCTGAAAGAAAAATTCTTTGGCCAGATAAAGGAAAAGATAAAAACAACCCATGGAGACCCTGTGAACATAAAGGTAATTATGATGATGGATGAGTGTGAGCAAGATAAGAGAGACTGCTATGAAGATAAGGGAAAATTTGTCAGATATGTAAATGAGCTGGACAAACAACTGCTTGCAAAATTACATCCGGGTCAGGCTTCTTGACTCTCCCCCCAAAGAATAGAAGCAATCCAGATAAGAGAAAGCTAACATTCATTTACCTCCCTCTTTGGACCAAGGCCTGTGGCAGACACATTACCTTCCTAAATCCTAACAACACTTGTTCTATTATTATCTGTGGAAGCTTATTGACTTTGGAGGCAGATAACTTAGGCTCAAACCCTAACTCTACCATTTACTTATCAAATATACTAAATATCAATCCCCTTATTTATGAAATGGAGATGCAATATACTTTCTATTTTGCAGGGTTGTTAAAAAAGTATATAAAGATGAGAACAGTATGTAAACATATTGAGCACAGCCTCTGTCATTTCCCTCTACACCTAATTTCATTCTTCCCCTCTTCCCTCTTATTTCAGAATAGATTATCCGTCCTCCTTTCCAGGTTAATCATTCCACATGCCCTTTGCTTTGTATCTCATTACCAATCACCACTTCAGAAATCTTTATCAGTTATCTGCTCTCTTTTTATCATTAACTTCTTTTGCTACTGGCTTGCCCATCTCAAGTCTTACCCATCTTTGAAAATGTCTCCTTCTGCCTTATGCCTCCTCGCTTTTGCCCTCTGCTTCCCTTTGTGGCCTAGCTATTTCAGACTGGGGCATACTTGCACTCTCGAATTCCTCACTAACAATTCACATCTCTCTACAGCATCTAGCACTGTTGACCATGTCCCCCTCACTAAAACACTCTTCCCTAAGTTCCAGCACAGAACTCTCTCCTCATTTTCCTCCTAGTTCTCAGTCATCTTTGAAGGGTCCTCCTTTTCCTGATCCTTAAAGGCTGCTTCTTGCCTTCCCTATTCTACCTCTCATCCAATCATATGGCTCCTGTATGACAGTGGCTCTCAAACTTTATTGCTAGGCCAAATTTCTCCCCTATGATCCAAATGTATATATCCAATGCACTCTGGACATCTTTACCTTTACCTGGATATGCCTCAAACTCAACACTATCCAAGACTGACCTAATTTTCTTCTCCTCCTACTCAAATACATCCCTCTTAATGAATGGTATTTTCCACTGCCTAAGCCAGAAGCCTGAGATTTATCCTTGACTTCTTTTTAGCCACTTAATCATGGTCTCCAGGTTCTGCCATTTCTCTCTCTTAATTATTTCTTCTACCCTTCCTTTCCACCTAAACATGAATTTTCTTTTTTTTATTTTTTTTTTTGTCCTTTTTTTTTTTGTGACCGGTAAGGGGATCGCAACCCTTGGCTTGGTGTCGCCCGCACCGCCTTTCTTTTCTTTTTTTTTTTTTTTGGCCTTTTTTTTTTTGTGACCGGTAAGGGGATCGCAACCCTTGGCTTGGTGTCGCCCGCACCGCGCTCAGCCAGTGAGCGCACCGGCCATCCCCATATAGGATCCGAACCCGTGGCGGGAGCGCCACCGCGCTCCCAGCGCCGCACTCTCCCGAGTGCGCCACGGGCTCGGCCCTAAACATGGATTCTTATATAGATTTCTTTAGTGGCTCCACCAGCCCCCACACTGCAGCAGAATGATCTTACTCAGAACAAATCTGATCATGTTAATCACTTCCTTAAAACCCTTCCACAGTTCCTCCCATTAGCCTTAAAATAAAATCCCAACCCCTTAACACAGCATCCGGCCTACATATTTGGTCTTTCCTCTTCTACTCTTTTCCTCAAACCAGACTTGCCCTCCACACTCCCATTTCTAAGTGTTTTTACTGGTGATGGAGTTTGGATGTGCTGTCCCCTCCAAAATTCATGTGGAAATTTGATCTCCAATGTGGCAGTGTTAGAGGCTGATTGAGTCATGGGGGTGGACCCCTCATGAATGGATTAATGCTCTACCTGGGGGAGGGGGGATTAATGAGTCAGTTCTTGCTCTATTAGTTCCCACGAGAGCTCGTTGCTTAAAAAAAACCTGGCACCTTCTCTCTCTCTCTTGCTTCCTTTCTCCTGCTTCCTCTCTCACCATGTGATCTGCTTGTACCTGGCCAGCTGCCTGCCACTTTTCTGCCATGAGTAGAAGCAGCCTGAGGCCTGTACCAGATGCAGCTATCCCAGAATCGTAAGCCAAATAAACCTCTCTTCTTTATAAATTACCCAGTTTCAGGTATTCTGTTATAGCAACACAAAACTCACTAATACAACTGGCTACTGCCCTTTCTAAAAATCTCTCTTTCCTGATGAACACTTACTTTATCCTTTAGAACTCAGTTCAGGCATCATCTACCAGGAAGCCTTCCTTGGCCTCACCAGGCTGGGGTGTTCCATCTATCTGACAGCACCAGCATAGTATCTTACCCTGTATTGTAAAATCTGTTTACTTCACTTGTTTCCCAAAGTCTTTCCCATAGTCTTCCTCTGGGCAGGAACAGATGTCTTTTTCATAGTGTAGCTCTAGCCCCTAGGATAGCTCCCCTCTATATATAGTAGGTCCTCAACAAACATTAGGTCCATCTCCTTTCCTCCCCTAAGTAACTTGGCTAAAGTCCTAGAGCTAGAAAGTGGCAGAGCTGTATGTTAACCAAAAACTAAATCTAAAGCCCATGCTCTTTTCACAATGCCATGTTATTCTCTAACCCAGACAGATGCCATCATTTTCACTGGTGACTTGGAGTTGAGGTTCAGCAAATAAAATACACACTGACCTGTGCAGTGACTGGTGGCCCAGCAAACAGGGCCTTGTATGCAGAGGCAGCAACAGACAAAGCCCCCTTCATCAGTCCTCCAGCAATGCTGTTACCATGGTGGTGCCTGTAGAGGAAAACCAAATTATATCCCCAAATAAACATAAACCATTATCTTCTTACAAGATAATCTGGGCTTTAATCCTTGAAAGAAAATGAGATTTCCTTAAGAGAAAAAAATCAGATGTAAAAAGGGAATGTGATTGTTTTCATATCAGTTTTACAGCTATAAATCTTAGTTTGATGTAGGGCCCAGCTCTGTTAGTGCAAAATATGGCACTGAAGGAAACACACCATTCTTGGTTAGCATGCCAGCTTTCAATCCTAGCTGTAAATTAATGTGGTCAAGGTCACCGTGATGTATTGACAGTCTGTCTACTGGATTATTATCTCAGAGAAAACACCTTGCAAAGGAAATGTGATTTTCTGGACACTGCTCTGAGGTTACTGGGAGCAGAGAGGCAGGTGTGTCTAAGAAAAAATCACTAAGATGCACACTGCGCTTGACCTTCCTGCCTTCCCTTCTGGTACTAAGGGTGAGGTGAATTTGAGTGCACACCTTGTCTGGAATGTGAACACTCCTAAACATCAGCTTTAGCCTTTTGTACAGTGTTGCTCAAAAGCTTTAGGAGATATAAGAAGGAATAAGAGCTCTCCTCTGCTCTCTGAAGATGGGCACACGCTCTGAGAGGCTCTTTTAAGCAGAAGCAATACTCGGATATCCACCTGCTTCTGAAGAAGAGACTGCACAAGGTCATTACCTTGAGTGGTCATAGCTCTTCTGTCTGCTGTTTACAAGTCCTGATGAGCCTCTGGGCTCTAAAAGCAAAAGAGCTGTTGGTTAGATGCAGCATCCGTAAGTGCCTGTTTCCTAACCCACAGCAAGGCTATTACCAAGGCAGGTGGCAATCTGATTACAATGTTTGAAGTCTCTCTTTTTTAAAAAAGTATTTGGGAAGTTTTACGTGTGGCTTAAGTAAGTAATAAGGAGAAACTGTCCAGAAATGCAATGCACAGTGACTGTTTATTGAATCAGAAAAATTAATTCTATAATCTTATCACATTGTTATATTAGTTCTCTAGTACTTTTAGGTCTGGCTTTTTGGGAAAAATTGAGGAGTAACTTTGAGGGTCTATTCACAACTTCATAGTGCTATTGTTGGTTTCCACTAAAAAGGAGCAAACAAAAAGAGATAAAGCTCAAGCTAGTCATTACCTCCTCTGCTCTGATCAGGGATTGAAGAAACTTCTGGTATGTTAACTGGTAAATCCACTTCTGGGGAACCATGATGCTGTACACAAGGGGTCCTCTCAGAAAGATACAATATTGAAAGTAAGTCAAAAAGGCACCTATGGCAATGGTGGAGAAACAGTAAACACAACACAGCAGTGCCACATTCTATACAGAGGCTTCACATTTCTGATCCAGATCACATGTGAATCTATGGCTCGGTCAGAAAGGCTGCACTCTACTCCCGGTTTTCCTCTTTAGCCACAGTTAAGCTAGAAGGATTGGCTTCGGTTTGGTCACTTCTGCCTATGTCAGCTGGTGTTGACAAAGGGAAATGTCCAGCTCCCTGGGAGAATGGTTATATTATAGTCAAGACTCCAACATTTTCTATACTATCAGAAGAGAACAATGACTCAAACTGAGTAGAGAATTAAAATAATTTCTATTTGGTTTTGTTGTGTATATTTTTTCCATATTAGATTTAACTTTTTCTTTTCTTTTTTTTTTTTTTTGTCTTTTTCCATGTCCGGCAATGGATCACAACCCTCAGTGTCGCCCCCGTACTGGACTGGGACCGGCAATGGGATCGCAACCCTCGGCGCTGCTCCTGTGCCTCGCTCAGCCAGTGAGCGGGAACCGGTCTGTATGTGGGATCCAAACACTCAGCGGGAGCGCCGCCGCACTTCCCAAGCGGCGCACTAGCGCAGTGCGCCACCGGGCCGGCCCTAGATTTAACTTTCTAATTACACTTTGTATGGGTTAATATGACTGCTTGCTACCTTTACCCATGAATCAATAGAACAATCAGGGGAGGTCCAGGAATGTTTGTGTTTAAAAACTGGCTCTTGGGCTGACCAGGTTATCTCAGTCGGTAAGAGCATGATGTTGGGGCCGGCCCGTGGCTCACTTGGTAGAGTGCGGTGCTAATAGCGCCAAGGCCCCGGGTTCGGATCCCACACAGGGATGGCCGGTTCGCTCACTGGCTGAGCGTGGTGCTGACAACACCAAGTCAAGGGTTAAGATCCCCTTACCGGTCATCTTTTAAAAAAAAAAAAGAGCATGATGTTGACAACCAGGTCAAGGATCTGGATCCCCATACCGGCCAGCCAACAACAACAACAACAAAAAGCCTAAATAAATAAATAAAAACTGGCTCCCAATACTCAAAGAATAAGCAGACAGACTAAACTCAGAAAATTAAGGTTGACTAAAACAAGTATTTCTTTAAATCCAGAATCCACAAATACCAGGAAATAGGACTTTTAATCATCTAAATTCAGACTTCACTATGGGAGATAGTCTCTTCCCATGCTGATGGAAAAGCAGGTTTTGAGATCAAGTTGATTTCTCTCACTACTTTACCTCTGAAGAACATGATGGGGGTGTGGATGGTACCTGGGCAGCGGTGGTGGAAGCCCCACCACCTCTGGGATAAGGGGCACCATTTCCAGAGTCTGTGAGGTCATGAGGATGTCACTGATGCTGTGCTCCTGTGGCTGCTTCTCCCCTCCAGGGAGTCTCTCCTCAGCTCTGGCTGGTTCCTGCCCAGCCTCAACCCCACGCTCGCCTTCAGCCCCTCGCTCCAAGCCTGGCTGCGAGAGTGCAGAGCTGTACATGGAGTCCCCCAGGGGGCGGCTGGTATCAAAGCACTCAGGCAGGATGATGATGTAATCCTCTGAGGAAGCAGAGGACTGACTCTGAACTTCATCTTTGAACTCCTCCTCCTCCTCCTCCTCCTCCACAACTTCTTCCTCAGTGATATGGATAATCTCCTCCCTCTCATCTTCAAGTGGTCTCTCTTCATGCAAGGCAAATTTCACTAAAGGATGAAAGCAACCAATTTTAAGGTAGAAGCTAAAAACATCCCCTAGTACTATCCTTACTTGGATCCTTGCCTTGTGGATCACGAGCTAGAATTATAAAAGCCAGAGGAGAAGGAAGAACCAGAGGGAAGGGCTGCTGCTAGAACCATGGCTATATTCTAAGTTTGAAGACTACGTAAAATTAATAGAACCAAAGCTCAAAAACAAGGTAGGCAGAAACACTCAGCTCTCTGCAATGCACCAGGAATCTTAAAATGAGGAGGCCCTGTTCTTTTTCCTCTTCAAATGATGATTACTATACTGAGATATGGTTTAAATCAAAACTGATATACTAGCTAACAGTGCTATAAAAGGTACCCATAAATCCTACCAGAATAACGACGGTGAACATTTTGGTGTAAGTCCTTCTAGAACTTTTTGTTATGCATTTGTACATATGTGTGAAAAAAGTAGATATATGTATAAACTTTAAACAAAAGTGAGACAAATCATATTTAAAGGTACAGGTCAAATTTCATTATAATAAATACATAATTTTAATTTTTGGATAGTTCTTGAAATATACAGTATTGGTTTTACCTATCTGGTATTTAGAAGTTTGTTATAAAGGTATTTATTACAGCAGAATTTAACCTTGAGAAACTTAGTTTGGTTCTCCTGCTCCTACCCACTATTTCAGACTATTGCCCTTGCAGAAAGCAGACAACTCAGCTGCCAAGAAGTCGTCTCTGCTGAGGAGTTCTGTCAACTTACAGGAAGACTCCTTACTACAGAATCCAGGCAGCACAACTGGCTGCTGTTCTTCTGTGGAATGCAGGTGTAATTCTATCCCTGAGAAAGTGTAGAAATGAGTTATGGTAGTTTCTTTGCTCCTGATACTCTAATTAGAACAGTCAGGTAGCATATGCAAAGACTAAAGAAACAAATGATCAGAATTTCTAAGAAAGACCACTCTCCCTCCACTCTCAGTGAAGAGTACTACTGGGCTGGCCCATTAGTTCAGCTGGTTACAGCACAGTGTTGCTAACACCAAGGTCAAGGGTTTGGATCCCCATACTGGCTAGCTGCCCCCCCCCCAAAATAAAAGAAGAGCACTGTTAACTACTCAGGCCTGGAAATCACAATTCAAATGCCACCCGACAAGGTGGGAAAAATTTAGGGACACTCACTCTGCAGGGACTTCTGTCTGCAAGGGGGGTTGTGATCAGGGGCAGCATCCAAGGTAAGGGATCGGATTACAGTCTCACACACAAACTGGGTCCCACTCAGGTCTTCTGCTTCCTCCACTGAAGCAGTGTTCTCAGCCTTCCTCTTTACTGACACTGTCGAATCTGAAAGAGACATGGACCTTGTCTGCACATTGTGTTCAAAGTGCTCAGGAGCTTTTACCAGTCATTACTCATGCTGAGACTATGCCAAGGAATAACTGTTATCTATGCCATGTAAGGTGGAGACTTCAAAAAATAAGGTGCTACAGAAAACCCATTTAGATGCTATGGTAAGTTTAGTAGGAAGTAGGTGTAAAAATAGGGTGTGGTATGGAAGGATGCAAATACTTTACAAATATTTAACCCCTTACCAGGAAGTACTTTAAATCCTGCCCCTTCACTCTCTTCCTGTATCTGCCCCAAGACTGGCTTCTCTATTAAAGGACTGTCATGTGGCAGAGGAGACATGCAGGGAGTCATATCTGGAGAATGAAGACAGGAGAACCATCAACAGAGAAAAAGCATCACATCATCAACAGTTAGTGTTCCGAAGCAGCAGTTCACAGCCATCCTGCCTCCTATAGGGCTATAATAAACTCAGGTATGCTTCAACACCTGTTGTAAAGATTTTCTACAGATCATTAGGTGTGCAAGTATCTCAGAAAGATCAATCCATCCAGGAAGAATCATAAACAGTTATTTGGGGGGCTGGCCCGTGGCTCACTCGGGAGTGAGGTGCTGATAACACCAAGGCCACGGGTTCGGATCCCATATAGCGATGGCCGGTTAGCTCACCTGGGAGAGCGTGGTGCTGACAACACCAAGTCAAGGGTTAAGATCCCCTTACCAGTCATCTTTAAAAAAAAAAAAAAAAAGATAAACGGTTATTTGGCCTGGAATGCTATGGCCAAGATGCAGGGTTGTCAATTTAAAGGAACAAAGGGACACAAAAATCTAGAGAAAAATAGATATAGTCCCATTATGGTGAAGAAGTCTTGAACAAGCTTTGTTGTTGCTTCTGACAGACAATGAGCAAAAAAGGGAAAAGGACCCATACATACCAGCATTACTATCACATTGTGGGAGAAATCCTTGCACCTATTTCCTAAGAATAAAACACTAACTAACAGAGGCTAGGCTGCGGTATTTCTGTGCCTGCTAATAAAATAAACAAGATGAACTTAGTAACATTCTTACCCACAGGAGTGTTGTGGGGCACTCTCTCCAACTCTTGGACAATGTTTATATCCAAAAGCTCAAAGGACAGCAGGTCCTGAAAAAAAGATGGGCAGTGTTAGGCTGCTTGCAGTGCATGCTGAAGCTATGTTTTGTCTCGATGGAACTTAGACCATTGAGCTCCATATCTTCTTGGATTCAACTTTGTCCACATTCATGGCTCTCCTCAGTCAAATGCAAACAGGAACAGTTAAATGGGAACTAGATGTTCAAATGACCAAATGGCAGGAAAGAGAGAAAATGCAGTGGGTGTGAAGGTGAACCAGATAGCTAAAATGAAGAGGCAACTAAAAGGAAGTTATGGGGAAGCACAGGATTGAGTTCTCAATTCAAAGAGAAAACAGTTTATAAACTTGCTTCCATGGGTGATTTCCTTCCCATTAAATGCATCTGACTAGATCAAAGTGGATGCATATCTCTAACTTCCTGGGTACCACCTATAGCTATACTTTCTCTTCAACAAGGTAAAAACTCTTCCCCCAATGCTCTTTCTGTCTCTTGCCCTTCAAAGTGCTGAATCTTCCACCTGGGCAGTCAGAAGGTCCACAGATGGGATGTAGAGCTCCCTCTCGCTGGCAACATTTTTTGTCTTCTCTGGGATGCAAGTTCCTGTCCCTTCCATCTGCTCAGTGGCTTTACCAAACTGAATTTCTTCTTTAGACAGAAGAAAAGTTTCCTATAGAGACAAACCATTGGGACAAATTTTAGGCCCTCAACAGAACTCAAGAAGCAGGCTGACAATGCTTCCCCCTAAAACAAAAACAGTGCTATATCTCTACATTTAAAAAACAAAAACAAAACTGTTTCAGTATAATTTTAGATTTAGAGAAAAGTTGCAAAAATAGTTCAGACAGTTCATATATTACCCCTTCACCCAGCTTTCCTTAGTGACAGCAACTTATATTAACCATACAAACCAGGAAATTAACACTGGGTAACTCTAAACTTAAGCAGTAAATACTATGCCTCGCTAATACAGGGAAGCTGCATAAAAAATTCTATTCATCAAGTAACAACAAGGGCAAGGCTTATTAGTATTTAGGGAACATACACAGGGCTATTTCAGTGGAGAAGAATGTTAAGGAGCAAAGCTATCAGTTCAGCAGTTCCATAGGCCAGGCCAGGCTAGGCAGCCCTTCTTGCCCTTGTGCAGCCAAGAAGCTGACCAAGCACCATTACAAGGAGATACAAAAGCATTCAGGGACTGCCTACACCAAGATTCTAAGGACATTAAAACAAAGCCCCTAAAGACTAAGCCAAATATCAGCATAAAATGTGTTGGGGAGGAGAAGATAACCTATTCATGATTCATGGAAGAAAGACTAGTCATGAGTAGGCTCTTTTAAGTTTCAGTCACCCCACTCCCCCAAATCTGAGTAAATATCTTGGGATACTGGGCCACAGCCAAGTCAATACTCACCTCTTGCTGGCAGGTGAGATCATCAGCTTTGCCTGAGCTTATCAAGCCCTTTTCAATGTCATCAGGGCTCTCTGTGGAGGGGAAAGGATCTACTATGATACTGCACCAGACCCGAGGCCCAAACTGTTGGCCTTTGTGAGAAAGACGCCAATGGGAAGTGTATGTTCCCTCCAAGGCTGGAGCAATGAACTCCACAGACACAACTCCCACGTGGCCGGCCTTCAGGCAGGGAACGAAAACATCCTTCTTTTCTGTAGAAGCCAAAGTCAGGTTTCCCCACATGAACTTGAGCTGAAAAGAACAATAACAAGAGAAACAAAGCTTGTCAGCTGAGCACTCTGCCACTTCAAATCACATCTTCACATTTTTAAGGGAAAAAAATACCTTAGTGTCTGCACTCCATTTTACATTTCCCGTATTTTTCATCCTCCAATGTTTGATAAACTTGGTTCCTGGCTGAAGGTGAGTCCCATCAGGCAAATTCTCATCCACAAATGCTGCGCTGAGTGTTGGCATAACTGGGGCACAGGGCTGCAAAGGGAGCCTGAACAGAAATTCAGATGCTTAGTTAGTTCCTGTTGGGTGTGAAGGCTTCTGAATATTCCACACTGTAGCTCAAGAAGCTGACTATGACTCTTGAGGATGTACTAATGTACTTGCCTTAAAAATAACACTAATAAGGGCTGGCTGGTTAGCTCACTTAGTCAGAGCATGGTGCTGATAACACCAAGGTCAAGGGTTCAGATCCCCCTACTGTTCAGCTGTCCCCCCCTGCAACTCTCTCCAAAAGAAAAACCTAATACAACAAACAAACAAAAAAACCCAGAAGACAGATCTGACTCCTGAGCTAAAAAGCCATGGAGAGGATGATTGATTGGGTCCATAAATACAACAACTAGAGTCAGGCTCTTAAAACATTTGCTACTTTTGCTTCAAATCCAGACTGTCCCCAGTGAAGAGAGATCACACCAACCAAGTTCTGAACCTTACTGGTTTCTATCTTTCTGAAGAAGGTAACAAAGCAAGAGTCAAAAATAACTACCGGGGGCTGGCCCGGTGGTGCACTGCTACAGTGCGCCGCTTGGGAGCACGGCGGCGCTCCCACCGAGGGTTCGGATCCCACATACAGACCGGCCGCTCACTGGCTGAGCGAGGTGCGGGAGCAACACCGAGGGTTGCGATCCCGTTGCCGGTCCCGGTCCGGTACGGG